TTCTTTCAGATATTTGATTGAATATTGAGAAGGACAACAAAAATAGTTTAATGAGTTATTAGTTTCGTTAAGTACATAAAATGAGAAAGAGTACTTTTTTTTTAATTTCGCGCAAAGCTACACGAGGGTTATCTCCGCTAGCCGTCCCTAATTTAGCAGTGAAAGAGTAGAGAGAAGACAATTAGTCATTATCACCCACCGCTAACTCTTGGGCTACTGTTTTACCAACGAATAATGGGATTAACCGTCACATTATAACGCTCTACGGCTGAAAGGGCGAGCATGTTTGGTGGAATTTGAACTCGCGACCCTCAGATTGCGAGTCGAGCGCCCTAACGACCTGGTCACGAAGAAGAATGGATTAGTACTATTATTTTACAAGTTCAGTTTCGGTTTCTTACAAGAAAGCGTTCTTTTACTGCATCCACTGTGATCTATCATAACCCTTTATTAGTATTCTTTTTTAAATGAAAAAATCTTCGATATTTTTACTGATGATTTTTCTCTGGCCAAAATATAAAAAAAATCATATTCTGAATTTTAAGTGAAACAAAGTACTACTTGTAGAGCAAAAACCCTTTCATTGAATGTGATTATATTTCAAAACCCTTTCATTGAATGTGATTATATTTCAAAACCCTAAAACCCTTTCATTGAATGTGATTATATTTCAAAACCCTTATCATCTTTAGTTTTCTCTTAAATCAATCGTAAAGTTTAGTTTAAAAATTGACTAGTTAACCAAATAGAAAATTGCATAAATTCTCGATTTCAGTATAATTACACGAAAGGAGGACAGACAACAATGTATGGATGACGACACTGTCACTTGTTTTCTTGTGACTAAACGAATGTACTTCATGTCTAATCATATGGCGCCAGTTACTGACGTTTGCTGATTATGACCTCGTCATGACTGGTATATTTCAGAGTAAGACGACTTTTTTCATAAACGTTTATTTTTTGGCATAAACTTGTTGATTCTATTTTTATAAATACTTATGGGAGTGAGGGATCTTTCTAAACAAGTTTTATTACTTAATTTAACATTCAATAGTATTCCGACAATATTATCTTACAATTAACTTTTTCGATATTATAATATTTGTTATTTTGAATTACTAGCCATTTTAAATTATTGAGCCGCGGAACGATATTGAAGAAGGTGTCTAGATATTTCAAATGAAAACAAATATTAGTGAGATAAACATTATCAATAAGAGAAGACATGCTTAAGAAAACCGTATCAGATACACATTTTTCTTCTTCTTATAGAGAACTCCGATACAGGTAACATTTTACACACTTTCTACATACAGAACAGGTATATTGGTAGGTACATTATACAGGGGGAGGGGGAAGGGTTCTAGTGTCCATTTATTTAATATGGCCTGGTGGTTAGGAGACTCGACTCGCAATCTGCAGGTCGCGGGCTCGAATCCACTTACCAAAAAAAAACTCATCCTTTCAGCTGTGGGGGTGTTATAATGTGACGGTAAATCCCACTATTCGTTGGTAAAAAGTAAGCGGTAGGTGGTGTTGACTAGCTGCCTTCACTTTATTCTATCTGTTGGGGACGGCTAGGGCAGGTAGCTCTCGAGTAGCTTTACGCAAAATTCAGCATACAAACTAAATATAGTGAAGAACTGCGCAGTGGCACAACGGTATGTATTCGGACTTACAACGCTAGAAACCGGATTTCGATACTCGTGGTGGGCAGAGCACAGATAGCCCTTTGTGCTTAACTACAAACAAACAATAACTTCTGATATTCTGCGAGGTTCTGAAAAGTATATTTTGGGTAGTTTATCTCACTTGCTTTCATGTTAATAACCTGGCCTGTTGATAATGGTAAGAAGTAATTGTTTTGCGGTAGCAACATTATTATAACATAACATAATGTTTAAGGGTAACAAGGGACCTATTGGTCCATCTAGGCTGTCCCATCCTTTAAACTAAAACTATTAAAAACCCTCAAAGCCAGCCTTTTTCATTCATGTAGTCATCAAATTTTCACTTATACTCACTTTAATTTACTGCCTCCACAATATCCGAAAACAACTCGTTCCCAAGTCTAATCACCCTGTTAGAAAAATAAAACTGTCTTAATTGAAGATGATTCCTACTCTACCAAAATTTATACTTGTGTCCCCTAGTCCTATCATTCTCACCATTAAGTATGAAAAAAAGCTGATGCATCAACATTATCAATTATCTTTGCAATCTTAAATATCCCATCAGATCCCCTCTAACTCTTCTTTTTTCAAGAGAAAACAATATCAAAGATCTTAACTTCTCCTCGTATGATAACCCTTCAATCCCAGACACCATTCTAGTAGCCTTATTCTGAACCTTTTCCAACAATTCAATGTTCTTCCTAAAGTAAAGATTCCAAAACGGAACACAATATTTCTAAGCAGTGACCTATACAATGAAATTATATGTAATTATATTCAACATTTCTGTAAATACAACCTAGAGTCCTATTTTCCCAACCACTAGCAACAGCACACTGCTTGAATGGCTTAATAACAGACTAATCAACCATTACACCAAGATCCCTTTCTTTCATGACACTGTTAAGGTTATTCCCATTCAAACTATACTTATAATTCAAATTATGATAACCCATATGCATTTATTAAAATCCACCTTAATTTATACGCCCAACTCACTAAATGAACTAAATCCTTTTGTAAATCAGCAGAATCCTCCTCACAGCCAGCAACACCAAAAACTTTAATGTCATCAACAAAATTTAAATGATATATTGACAATTCCTTCGTCTATGTCACTGGTGTAAATCAAAAAGAGCAAAGGTCCTAAGACTGAACCCCTAGGTACCATACTTGTGACATTAATCCAGTTTGACTGAATTACATTTATAACAACCTTCTGCTTTCTTCCATCCAAGCCCGTCATGGCCAGGAGGTTAGAGCACTTGACTCGCAAACCATGGGGGTGTTATAGGGTGACGGTCAATCCCACTATTCGTTGGTAAAAAGAGTAGCCCAAGAGTTGGCGGTGGGTGGTGATGACTAGCTGCCTTCTCTCTAGTCTTTCACTGTTAAATTAGGGACGGCTAGTGCAGATAGCCTTCGTGTAACTTTGTGCAAAATGCAAAACAAACAAATCTTCCATCCAGCCACTTTTCTATCCAATCAGCTAATTTATTCTCAAAAACAATATATGATTTTGAAAAACTTTACCACAGTTCATCTAAAATATCTAGGAATCTGTGGTTATATAAACACACATATAGGTATCCTGTTCAATGCCTGTTTTTACACATTACTATCGTAAATGAATTATTCACCCATCAGCCTTCAGATCCACGTTTGGTCATCAAATTGAAGCTGGTTGAAGTAGGTTTCATCATTTCAAAAACTCAAAGACCAGTCTATTAGATTTTAGCACTGATGGGCTTTCTACCAAACAAGTTGAATATTCTTGTGAGGATTTTAAATCCCACCTCTTCCTGTGTAACCACGTTCACGGAGAAAAGGCTGTAAAATTTTCATAGATGGTGCCCGTTAAGAAGTCACCACTTTGGATAAAGTCAATATGAATGTTTTGCATAAATGATTTCAAACACACTATAGTACTAATAAGTGACAGCTATTTCGGCTGATTCGAATGTTTTTTATGTGTTTTACTACTATATTTCTGGATACTGTTCAACGAATTCATGCAAAGTAGATTACATAAGACTCAGGATTGCGACTAATTTACCTAACGATTTTTTTTCTCAAATTCACTTAGTTCACAATGTTGTGGCATGTTGCACACACACACATTGATATTACTTATTTGTTTAATTAGTGGATGTAAATATGTATTTCCTTTAATGAGTCTTCCTATAAAGCATTTTCAAGGAGTTTATAGATATTTGGTAAAACTTTGTATTTACATACATTTTAAAGACACACACACAACAGAATTTTAAGCAGACATTTTTATACAGCATACTGACAAAATAAAGTTTTAGGCAGATATTTACACAAATCCTACAGACAAAACAGGGCGAATGCTCGTGCTACAAAGAAAAAAGTGTAGTTATATATTTAAACTTATCCTGCAAACTGAACAGGATTGTATGTTTGTTTGTTTGTTTTGGAATTTCGCGCAAAGCTACACGAGGGCTATCTGCGCTAGCCGTCCCTAATTTAGCAGTGTAAGACTA